CTCCTGTGGCTCCTAGTGAAGACATTTTATTATACATATTTCAGTGTCTAGAGAGTTCCAGTCTTGTGTTCTGCCTGTTCACTTGCTATCAGCTCTGTAAAGGAAGAAACCCCTATCAGCACATACTGTAGGCCTGATGCCTAAAATCTGCACGACATGCTAAAATTCTGTGAGCCAACTTGGATTGGATGTTACAGTTCTATTTTTTTGTTTAGCAAGTGTTTTTTTTTCCCCCTATGTTTAGTAAATCCTGAAGGAGAATGAAGGAAAATCATCAGTTTTCAGTGTGTGTGTCTACTCAAAAGACGCAGGACAGCAAGTCTGTGTGCATGTGTATGTATATGTATGTGTGCAAAAACAATCGTTTAAGATAGACAAGCAAAAGTTGATGACCCACTAATGGTGTTTAAATACCTAAAACATTTTAGAGCTTCTCAGTTTTTATGTCACCTGAGACAAAATTTTTGGGGAAAAAAATAAAAAGCAATACTGCACAGCCATTTTGGATGGGGTGGGAGGGAGGTTACACCACTGTATCAAGCTGACACCTAGTAGCAGAATACTAATCAGCTGCATTAGGCCAAAATACTTAGTTAATTTTTCATGCTTAACAAAGAATTCCATGCAATTGCCAAAGTTATGAGTGGTCGTTACCTCACTTTAATGTTTTGTCCAGAATGGGTGGGTCTGGAAACTCAGTGACCTGAGCGTTGCCTTCCGTGACATTTCACTAATAATGAGCATAAGTGCACTTAGGACATAGTCTCTTAAAAAGTACAGCCCTTTACAATAATTCTTGTTCATGCATCAGGACAGAGGTTTAGGTTTGGCCTCTAGTTGTCATTAATGGTATGTCTGTTTCTCTGTTTACACAGATACAAACACACACACCTAAACATACACACAGATTCACATTTTTGTATACGTCATCAATGATGGCAGTCTAAGGTTGCCTATATGTAACCTACATTGAAATTATTAGCAAATCATTATGTTTGGTGTTATGTGTTTCACTAATCCACCAACATACATTGTGCATCTCAAATGTCAGACACTGTGCTAAGGAGCAGAAATACAAAGATTAATAAACAGGGGAAAATACAAAGATTAATTAACGGGGTCTCAAATAGTGCATGATCAGGTATGGAGACAGACGTGTGAATAGATTAAACTCAATATAAATTATACAACTATTTGAATTGAGTATGTATAAAAGAAACCCCCCAAATAATATAAGCTTAAGCACATAAATAAAGGTCTACTCTCTCATGAAAAAGAGCTCAAGATGTAATCAGTTCAAGGAGGCTTCTGGAACGAAGCTCTTTTCTCTTTCCACTCTGCCATCCTTAGTGCAAGGCATCCATTCTCAGGATTGTCTAACTCTTCAAGGTAGTAACTGAAGCCAACAGGAAGGAGAGATGGCAGAAGGGGCCTTCCTAACTAAATGAGCTTGTTCAATTAGCCTTCCCAGGAGTCCCACACACTTCTACTTTTATTTCACTAATTACAGCTTGGTCACATAGCCAATGAGAATGTATTCTTTTATGTGGATATATCGCCACCCCAAGTAAAATTTGGAAAAAAATAGGGAAGATGGATATTGGGTGGCAACCAGTAATCTCTGTCACATGTAATTATGAACAAAAAGCTGAGGAAACATGAAGCAATAAGTCAGTTAACTCTGGAATGTGGAAAAGGCTTTTTGAGGAGGAGACAATTGGGATTTGAAGGATGAATAGGAGTTTGCCAAATAAAAAATTGGGAAAGAGCATTTCAGGCAGGAATAATAGCATGTGCAAAGGCACAGAGGGGTCTGACATTCTACCTGCCAAGTAATCCCATTTCTGTATTCCTATTTTATTTTCTCTGTTATTAATGATAGCTCTTAAGGTAATACTTGAACTAATTTTTAATTACTCGAACAGTTATAAAAAAAATCAACAGACTGAGATATGTCAACAATGATTTTCTGATGTAACTGCAAATAATTTTCTACTTGGACCAAAATAAGAACATTTTATCTGATGATGAAGTATTGCACATTTTAAAAATAATTGAGTTAGAATATTTTGGCATCTTGAAAAGGAATTGATACAGAGTAGGGGGAAAGCAGTTGTGTCAGGGCGGTGTTTGTCTTTTCAATTCTGAAATTAAACAAAGCCAAGTTAGAATTGACTTGGTTCATATCCTGGGGTCCATAAACCTACCCTGAGAGCTCTTGGTGGTCTAGCCAAGTTAGCCTTAAAGTATGTCACCTTCCATTTAGCTATTCCTAACATGACTGTTACTTTGGATCTGTGAAGCTGGAGTGTTCTTTTCTTTAAACGGCTTTAGAACCATAAGACATTTTTAGGATTAAAGAGATTTTCATCATTATCTTCTTTTTGGCTCCATCAGAAACATCACAGCCCATTTAAATTTTGCCAGAGACACTTAAATCTTTTGAGAAACCTGAAATTTCTTTAAGAAATAAACCTAGTTCGCTTTGAGACCCCTGAGAGTGTCAATTCCCATGCCTGCGGCCCATCATGCCCTCCCACAGAGCTGAGTGTCTTATAAGATGAAAGTCATCTCTTTCCAACCCCAAACAACAGTAGAGCCAGTGATTCTTTGAATACTGCCAAAATTAAGAGTGCCATGTTTTCTTAAAGGATTCAACCCTACCAAAGCAATCAGGTAATTTAATCTTCTGATTTCAGTTGAGAGGTGGGTTGCCAACTTTGGTTTTTGCTTGCTTTTTAATAAGTTAGTATGTAGGCATGACTACGTAGTAAACCTCACAGCGACACCTCCCTTATGTCTAGATAACTCTTTGATTCCTTATTCATATCTGAGCTCAAAAGATTTTTCCGTAGGAACATCTTCTCTGGCCTCTCTAACCAGATCTCCTCCATATTTCTCGGTACCATGTATCTATGTTTTATAGCTTGTATAGTGACTATCCTTTCACGTGTATTGTGTGTGCGGATTTGAGTAATATGCGCCTTCCCCACAGGACCCTAAGTCCCTTGAGGGTGGACCCCTGTGTGCTGAAACTCACCCCTGGATATTGCCCCTCACACAGTGCCTGACCCACCTCAGATCTTTGATCATTGTTGGCTGGATGATTACCTGATTTTTCTGTAAAGAAATTACTTGTGTTCTCCCACTCCACACTGTGCTCGGAATACAAGAGTGAATATGAAATTGCTCAGCTCATGTGAGGGTTCATGTTGAAAATAACTTTACTGCAGTCATACAGAAATACATTGGAGAAGGCTGTAGCCACCGTGTGCTTGGTTCTGCAGGGACAGAGGTTGGGTGAATTCCGGTGTGGTCTCATTTCAGCCTCTGAACACACTGCGGGCATCTCTATTCCTGCTCCATCCCAGTAAACCCCTCGGGATGGAGCCAGCTCACCTTTGCTCCCCACTCAAGAGCCGGGTTCTAGGTTTTCTTGACATCTTTGTATTACGTAATATTTCAAAAATGAGTAACTGTTGAAGGAGTTGGTGCTTTGCCATCTATCTTAAAAGATGCTTATACGCTTTTAATGGAAAGATATACATTAACACATTTAAAAACACAATGCTAAATAACTGTATTTTTTCAACCTTTGCCTAAACAGGTGTTTGCAATTATCAAATAAAGGTACCAAAAGAAAAATTGAGCCTCAAAGAAAGGTCACATTAACAACCAGATTTTTGAAACACAGGACAAATTGTGGAAACTTTGTGGAGATAAGCCCCTTGAAACGTCACTACAGTTCTCTTTTCTTTTGTCAAAGACAGTAGTTGAAATAGTTTGAGAGTGGAATGTCTTTTGATATTAGATCTAACAAGAATTATAGAGGTACAAGAGTATAGTTTGGATTTGAATCTTTTTTAGATTGAACATTGAAAAAGAAAGTAAAAATACAAATGAGTTTACCCATACACTTGATAAATGCTTGTGATTTTGTTAAGCCTGACTTGGACTAAGTATAAATATTTCATTGGATGATTTGAGAACTTGGCTACTTATTAACTAACTGACCTTGGCAAGATTCATGACCTCACCTATAGAGCGAGGCTATCTTACATGATTGTTGTGAAAATCAATGAGATCCGTGCATTGTGCCTGGTATGGTCACACAGCAGGCTCTCGGTGCTGGTTATCTCTGCTGCCTGCCCCTGTGTCAACCCTTCCGTTCCACTACACACACATGCGCTAACCTTGTTTCTGTTGGCTGACTCTGTGATTCTGTTTCTCTTCTCTTAGTTGAAGTGCTAGCTAGAAAAAGAAGTATTCTCATTATCATTCAGCAAGTATTTATTGAAGTCCCACAATTTGCCAAGCACTGTTCTAGTGGTTTGGACTACATCAATGAACCCAAGATACAAAACCCCTACCACTGTGCATCTTGCATTGTAAAGAACATACGGAGCCTGGAGATTATTGTTAAACTTGTTCCCGTTACCTCATGGTTGCGCTGTGTGCGTGTATGCGTGCGTGCGTGTGTGTGTGTGTGTGTGTGTGTGTGTGAGAGAGAGTGTGAGTGTGATTTGGGTGAATCATAATTATTGACAGGGGGAATTATGTTTTGAATGAAGGTTGTATAATATCAATAGTGCAAGATTTTCCTCTCTCCCTTACCTTCTCCCCCTGGCTGACTCCCTCCTCCTCCTCCTCCTCCTCCTCCTCCTTCTTCTCTCTCTCTCTCTCTCTCTCTCTCTCTCTCTCTCTCTCTCTCTCTCTCTCTCCCTCTCTCCCTCTCTTCCCCCCCACCCTCCTTTTTCCTCTTCCCTCTCCCCACCTTTCTTTCTGTTTGTATATTTGAACTATGAAAACATCTTTACCCATGCTGGTTTTTTCTTCCTTAGTCTGATTCCAATTCCAGCTGAATTCAGTCCCCTTCCTGGGAAGCAGATTTTGCCCCTCCTCAAGGACGATGGGAGGGTCATTTGGTGGTGATGGGCCTCACACTGCACCTGTCCATCAGGGGGCACCTGGTTGAATTACACATCTCTCTTTCTTGTTAGATTGTTGGCTGTGATCACCAGCTGGGAAGCAACGTCAAGGAAGATAACTGTGGAGTTTGCAACGGAGATGGGTCTACCTGTCGGCTGGTCCGAGGGCAGTACAAATCCCAGCTTTCTGCAACCAAACGTAAGACGCTACAGACGGGGGCACTCTTTGGGCCTTTGGGCTTGTTATCAGCAACTAGGGAATAACACCACCACCAAAAGGAAGCAAATCTGAAAAAACTGTGGAATGATTCATGTCTCTGCTCTGTGGATTGGTGTCAGTGGGATAAACCAGGTCACCCACTGCAACCCCAAGGAGGAAACTTTTCCTTTTGAAGTACATTAGGAGGCAACTAGACATGCATCTAGATACACTCTAGATATACATCTAGGCATGAGCTTATTACCCAGCATGAGGACAGACTGTGTCCCAGCCCCGACCTGAGACATAGCCAGGTGTGCTTGGTGGAATACAGCAGGGAGAGTGGGCAGATCAGGACAAATTCATTCCCACAGTGAAATCACATGATCTTCACTTACAAAATGACCTTTGATCACTGCTAATCACAGGGTTTGTTTGTTTTTCAGAATTAACATTGGCAATGATTATTGACTTTTGTGTGCTAATCTCTCTACGATGACACAATAAGTGTATGCTTACTCTACATGTGCATGCTGGGAACTTTACATGATCACCTTATTCAGTCCTTGTAACCTTATTGCAAGGCACTGTTTATCCCTATGTTACGAATGAGATAAGTGAAGCTTAGACAGGTCATGTGACTTGCAGAGTCACACAACTGTGAAAGTAGCAGAGCCAAGATTTAAGCCCAGAGTCTGATTCCAGAGCCTAAGCACTTCCTCTTCCTCTGGACTGTCCCACCATGCTGCTGACTGTTCCATGGTGGGACATTTGTAAAGCAGTCAGAAGGCTCAAAGCAGGTACCTCAGATACCAGCCCAGCTGGGTCCTGCTAGGGTAATGGCATATGGTTTCATCATACTTAACCCAACAATGGAGTCACACATCAATCTCATTCATTTTACAATACACTGTCCTCTGTGACGATCGCTGTTCTAGGTGCTGCAGCAAATACAGAAATAAGACAGCCCTTGTCCTCAAGGACATGCATTTTTATAATAATTTGACCTTGCTTGGCATATTTTTCCACACTTTGTCACCATCTGGAATCCTTTACTAGATTCTTTTTTTACTATTATTATTATTATTATTAAAATTTATTGGGGTGACAATGGTTAGTAAAATGACATAGGTTTCAGTAGATTTTTTTTTTTAAGATTTTTATTGGGGAATTGGAACAGCGCTGGGGAATTGGGAGAGGGGGAACAGACAAATTGCTGTCGTTTTTTGTTCTATAGTGTAGTTGTGGAAGACGTTGCTTCACTGGCCCTAGTTGGCACCATCATTGCGCTCTTTCCGGGCGAGGCCGATCAGTCGCTGGCTTCTGGATGGCCGCTCACTGCGGCTGCTGGCCGCTCACTCTGGCTGCTGGCTACACACGGTAGCCCATGGCAACCCACTGCAGCAGGGGCTGCAGCCTACTCTGTTGCCCGTGACTCACGGCAGCCCAGCTCCAGGTTGAGCTGTTGTTCAGCATCTTAGCTGTAGAGGGCAGTGTCACTGGCCCTCATATGTGGAATCCGAACCTGGGCCCTCTGGCGTCCCAAGCCAGCTCTTAACAAACGCACCACTCCGCCGGCCCTCAGTAGATTCTTGATTGAGTATCTCTTTGTACATGTCTCTCCTTGGGAAACGAGAATGAATATTTTTACTGAATGTGGTTTTGATCTCTTTTCCTGTTGACTAGCCGGAGGAAAACAATTGACATATGAGGGGTTTGCGGCTTTAAATGGATGTGTAGGTCAAGTAGAAAAGCAGTGTGTGCTGGAGAACTATTCCAAGAGGTCAGGAAAAGGCAGTTTTCCAAAAAGGACTAGGCTTTAGGGAAGAAGAGATGGCAGGGGAAAAGGCCAGGGACTGTGAAACACATGAAACATTGGAGGTGCCAGCTTAGGGAACTCTCCACATTCTAACACCCCTGCAGGCAGTGAAAAAACAAAACAACAAAAACGAAAACAAAAACAAAACCTCCAGCAGAGAGAATGAACGATGAAGTAAGTTAGACATTGATACAGCACATACAGGGAAGAATTTTTTTCTTTGGTCATGTGTTGGTAGCATTTTCTAAAAGATGAAAATTAAAGAATTTGGACATGGAAAACAGAGAAGGATAGAAGGATAGAGGCATACCATATTATGCCATGTACAATGTGCTTCCGTGTATAATGTGCACCCTCATTTTTGGCCCAAACTTTCACAGAAAAAAATCTTTCCTTTTAATTTTTTAATTCAAATTTTTATTTATTTGCCTTTAGATAGTTGTTTTTATATTATAAAGGAATTTTAACATTTATTTTTAACACATGGTACAAGAAATTTTATGAAGCAAGTAATTGCAAAACACAAGAACAGATACAAGGTACAAGAAATTTTATGTACTAGTAATAAATGTATGATATTTATGCATTATAGAAGGCTAAGAACTCTTGTCATTCCAAGTTTGTTGTTAAATTCAACAAAACCCATTATCATATTCTAGGGTATTATTTTGCATACATATATCATTATGGATTTCTAGAGTTACACTTTTAACTCATAAGCATAAATAAAAGAATTAAAAGAATTAAAAACACTTATATAGATACAGAATTAATATTACCCATGTATAATGCGCATCCTTATTTTTCCCTCACAAATTTGGGCCAGAAAATGCCTATTATACACAGCAAAATATGGTAATTCTTTTGTAAATTTTTGAAATCATGGTGGGATATTTGGAAAAAAGTTACTTTTTAGAAGTTGCTTTTATAGAACTCTTTACAGAATACTAGGAGAGTTAAGATCTTTTTACTTATTGGTGTCACAAAGCTGAATCACTGCTCATTTAAGAATCTAGAAATTTCTGTTAGGCACAGATAAAGAGGTGGCAGGCATGTGTGCTGTACCTGCTGAGGGCATACTTTTCATGGTGGGAATCCTTCCCTTATTCCTGCTTATGTCTCCCACCTTCCCCTCCTCACAGAGGAGCCTGAACATACTGCTCTGATAGATATTCCTCTTACCCCCCTGTGAGAGGGTGATCAGAGACCTTTGGGGCCTGAATCATTGGAGCAAAGGTGGAAAGTGCTGAAGGAACAAACTGAAGCAAATTGCGAGCCGTAAGTCATCTCCAGGTCTGCAAATAGATAGCTCAGTGAAAGCGCTCTCTTCCAGGCCGACAGTGGGTAAATTATATAATACACAACCTGATGATTTTCCATAATGACAAAATGCAATTGATTCGTTTACCCTAGTGCTGATGATGCCTCATGACAAAATGATTTATATCAATAAAGCCCCGCATATGCAGGCACCTCACCACAATCTATAGCAGATGCTGAGCAAACTGCCCCGTTTATGTTTTCTCCACCCCAGGAAAACCTTCCACCCAAATTTACAGGCTGTGGGGTGACCCACAGGCAGGGAAGATTAGGCTGCTCCGTGGGGCCCAGTGGACTAGCCAGGTGAGCCGCTCTCCACCCGTGAAGGCCTGGAGCCGCTCTGCTGAAAGGACTGTAAACCAGCCACATGCTCTTTTGAACTCCTAGCACTCGGCTTCCCCACATTGAACTCATTTTCTTCTGAACTTATATCCAAGTTGTTTTTTTTTTGTTTTGTTTTGTTTTATTTTTTTGGTTGTTTTTTTTTTTTCCTTATGTTATCAAGCCTTGGGGGAACAAAGGGAAAAACAGGAGAGTGGAGAAAGACCATGGTGGAACGTGCCAGAAGGAAAAGGAGAAGTAGGAGGAACTGATCAAATGGCGACCATTTGCTGGCAAATAAAAAAGAAACCGTCTTTGTATTAAAAGGCATTGTTTTTGCCTAGTACAAATACAGATGACAGAAAAAGAGCTAGACCCAGGCACTCTTTCCCCTTTCTAAAAAAAAACGCTGTCCACTGATGGCATTCCGTGTTTCCATTTTTATCCTGGTCGTTTTGTTTCTACTTTCTCAGACCAACAAAAAAAGAATCAAATGTAGTTAAACTTACTTTTGATTCTTGGAATGACAGACTCATGTTCCCCCAATTTTATTGGTTTGTACCACATTAGGTATTTTCCAATTAACTCAGAATATACTTAAACCTAGAGACAGCTTATTTGCTATCAGTTTGATGTTTCCAGTTTTGCTGACCTCTTATATGTATCTGCATGTTTTGAAATCACCTGGGTATCCTAAAGATCTCTCTCCACCTCTCTTGAGTGGCAAGAGCTAGAAAAACAAATTTATATCAAGATAAAATGAAGCTCCTAATGCCTGGCTTTGCTTCTTAGACTACAGCTTATGCTGATTTATAATAACTATGGGTAAACATATCCCTGGACTATCATTCTGGCTCAAAGATTTTGAGGTAAAGATGTTTATAATAAAACACATGTCTATGTATTATAAAGCGAGTAACATATATGAAGGATTTAAAGAAAACACAAAACTTTAAAGAAATTTCTACCTTGCCCCTGAATTCAGGTTATATTCACAAGCTACTCCTTCATTCATTCATTCAGCATCAATTCACTCATTCATTCAACAGCAAATATTTCTTGGGTACTTATGTGCTGAGCAACTGCTTTAGGTGCTAGCAACACAGGAAAGAGCAAAACAGACAAAAACCCATTTTTCTCATGGGGCTTACTAATGTGAGAGGTAGAATGATAAAGGGACAAAACAAGGAACTAAATAAAATGTGCATATGTCCTATGGTGATAGGAGTCATGGGATAGTAAGACAGATAAGGAGAACTGGGGATAGAGATGGGCTGCTAGCCAAGGGTGCTGGAGGGGAGTTGCAGTGTTAAATAGGTTACTGAGGAAGGATTCACTGATAATGGCATTTGAGCAAAGATCTGAGGGAGGGGCAGGTGGAGCACCATGAAAAAGTCAGGGGGAAGAGAATTCCAGACATAGAGAAGAGCAGTGCAAAGGCCCTGAGGTGCATTCTAACATATTTCTTGAAGAGCAAAGAAGCTGGTGTGAGGTGAAGAATAGCACAGATATCACAGGATTGCACAAGGGCTTGGCCTTT